AATTATTCTTGTTATTTTTAAATGATTTATCTTTTATTACTTAAAGATTGAATGAATGATTTTTGTCATAGTATTATACTCTGTATACTTATTTGATTGCTCATTAACTAGATTGGTTTCTAGGTATGAGTGATTCTTATAATTTCCTGTGAGTTTACAAAACTAGTTTTTAAATTCATAATTTCATATCAATCAACTCTTGGTTTTTAAAAGTTATATATTTCAGTTGATTACACTAGCGTTGGAAGTCAACTAAGATAAAATATAATTGTATAAGTATAATATTTGGCGTGCATGAACAATCTCCGATCCCAAAACTAGAGAATAACCTTTTTCCCATAAGAAATTTCCTTCAATCTATAATAATTAATTACCTTAAACAAACTAAACACGGTTTCTCCATTTTATCTTCCTGCGATCTATTAAATCCTTGAAGATCAATCTCGGACCAACCGAGTTATTACTACACTTAAGCACCTGCATTTGGTTGCACCGATTCGAAGTCAAGCAATTGACATCAGAGAAATTTATCTCTATATCATAATGCAGGGCATTTCACACAGCTTGGACTTCAAAGAAGTCCTCTGATCAAGTTTTATTCACATAGGCCTTCCTAGCAGAGCTAGATTCACCTACCCCGACAAAACCTCCTAAGATGACATGTATTTCTTCGATAGGTTGTTGATGCTACAACTACTGAGGTGGCTCCTTGGGATTCGTAGCTTATTGGTGAGCATCCCGTGCTACGAATCTTCCCAGATATCCCTTTCAGATAAGGAATTTGATTTTCTTTTTCACTAAAAATAGTCGTCGGTGGCATGGTTTTTGAACTTGATGTAGAATTTGAGCTACAAGGGCATTTAAAAGTGTGAAATATTACGGGGCAAGTTGCACTTCGAAGTTGGGTTTTGGGGGTCCCAAACGATCTCAGACATCTCATTTTCTCTTGGGTGATCGATCCCAATCCTTTTTGGGACTGGAGTCTTTTGTCATTTTGTTGATTTGTCTTGATTGAAGAGTCACGCCTCGCACGAAGGACTTCTTCACCGTTGATGTATTTGTCAACTCTAGGTAGCCCTTATGCCAGCATGGCATGAGGGTTTTTTGAGACAGAGAATAAGAAATCTGATGATAGGAGCCTGAGTCCAGCAATGAAGGCAGTTAAGGCAACCTTATCGTCTAGTTCGTCCACTTAGAGGTACTCTTGGTTGAAATGTCATAGATAGCTTCTAAGCGACTACTCCGATTTTTTCTTGATACATAAAAGGTAGGAAGCCAACTTGAGGTGGGTCCTTGCGCCAATGAAGTGTGATAAGAACAACATCGATAGTTCTTTAAACCAAGAGATGGAGGACGGGGCCAGCCAGTTGAACTAGATCGGTGCTGAGTGATTTGAGAGTGATAGAGAAAGCCCAACATCAAACAGGGTCTTGGTATCCATGAAGCACCATTTGATTCTTGTAAGTGTTGTGATGATCGAAAACATCCCGGGACCCATGAATGCCTCCATCATCGGCATCTTGAACTTGGAAGGGAGAGAGAGGTGTTGAACTTTGGGTGTGAATGGCGACTTCTTTGCTGGATCAGGGCCTCCATTGATATTGGAGCTTGGTTTTTGACTATTTTTTTCGCATTCCATAACTCATTCTGCACTTCCCTGATTTTTTTTCTTCCCAATACTGATTCTAGGAATCTTGGGGGATTAGAGGTTGAAAATTCATCCTCCTCTCCTCCCCAACTCCACTGAAGACCTCGTTCTCGTGGTCTTCTTGGCCTTGATGATTGTGGGCATTCTCGCCCAATTGGCTCTATCGATCCCCCTCTATCACTCCATTAAGAGTTTATGGAGGTGGATGTGATGTATTTAGTGGGAGCCCTTAGTGTTGTCCAATGAGGAGGGCCATGAGTCGATGATTCTTTCTGAGGAGATGCCGCATGGTTTATTGATAAGCTTCTAGGTCTTCCACCGGGGGCGGGTCTATCTATAGAGGAGGAATCCACTATTGGTTCTCTAGGTTCTAATTCATTCCTCTTTTAAAGACCATCAATCAAATAGAAAAGGGTATGATGTTAAAGTAGGATGATGACTATTGTTCGCATAAATTACGCCAAACTAATGGAGAGAAAAATAGGGGATGAGAGAATTTGAGTGTTAAACAATAAAATCAATGTAAATGTAGGAGCTAATGATCATAAAACAAGCAAAACAAGAGAAGGTGTGAATGGCTCGCCAAGCTAAATAGCTAGGTTAATCTACTGTCAATGGAGTATCTTGCTCCTATATTTTTTTTTTAATGCTTAGAGAAGAAGAAGAAGAAGAAGATTAAAGGAAGGGATCAATACTTTCTTTATAGGGCATCCTTTCAATTTATACCTGAATAAGTTTTTTGTCCTTGTTCAAGATTTCATGGTCCCTTAAATCTATTGGAATCATTCCGGAAATATTTGACCATTAGAGTCAATTATATCCACTGGACATGTGGTCTTGCAGAAGTGATGATGTGGCATTCTTGAGGTGGTAAGTTACTGTCCATGAAAACATGGGTTTGCTGACCTTTTTCCCCTTCTTATAATTTATATGCACAAAATTCACAATTTTTTATTTTTTTCCATTGTTTCTTCTTCCAACCATTCACTTTTTTTTAAGATCCGTCTTTATTAATTAATAGAAAATTTTAAAATTCATGGGAAGTTATAAGGGATATAAACTAATTCACTTTATAAAAATTTAGAAGAAAGGAAGTTAATTGATGAGAGAGTGGAAGAGTTGTTATATGTGTCGAGTGTTGTAAATTAGGAAATGTGGTGGGAAGGCTTCGCATGCCTTCTTTCTTCTAATTTATTTGTTTTATATATATATATATATATAAATATATACACATACATATATATACATATAATCATGTGTATTCTTTCTTTTTTAACATTCATATACAATTTTTTTACAAAACAGTAATAAGACATGACCTTGCGCTATGTTTGGTATGATGGAACATTGAGTTTGAGTGGATTGAAAATAAAGATGGACATAGTATGAAAAGTAAGTGTTTTCATTGTCTGGTTTCAAAAGAACAGGCATTGGAAAGAAAACTGTGGTCGAAAGCTACGGCAAATAGGTTTCCTCTCCCCAAGGAGGAAAAGTTCATTCCTCTTTGTTGTCCTTCTTCTGGGTTTTTTCATCCTTCATACCAAAAATTGCCTTGGATTTGAGTAAGAAAGGGAAAAAAAAAAGAATCAAATAATTTGAAATTCAAATAATAATGCTCTTGGTCCTATTTTCATTCATTTAATATCCAGGATTTACGTACCAATTCCCATGTCAGCTGTTACATCATAGGAGCTCTCGTGTTTGTCTTATTTTTTGATCAGCTTAACTGCATTTAAAAGCTAAAAAAGGCATCAAATTATCTTCCATTGGACGTAATAAGGTCGTTGTCTTGGTTAAGTCAAAGCAACTATGATGTTATCACGCTAATATTTTTTTTTTCTTTTTTCTTCTTTCTTTTTTCTTTTTTTGATATATGAGCAATGGCAAGAAGAGTCCTGGGTGACCATTATGATTAGCTGGTAGCCTTGGATGGAGAACGCAATAAATGCAAGATAATTGTTACTATTGACCTTCCAATATAGAGATCCCAGATTAAACCGAGAGAGCAGTTTGGATGGATAGATTTCAAATATTATTATTTTCGGTTCTCAAATTTCAATTTCACTAGAGTATTTTTTTTTCTCATGTGTGTGATTTATGAATAATTGTATGCATTCGAGAGTTTGCAATATAAAAAGGAGTTCAAATTATACGCTATCAAAGAAATTGAGAACAATTAATTACTGCAACTCCATAGGCAAAGGAAACAGTTATTAATTACTAGTTTCAGTGGCACACGTTATGTGTTTGCAATTTTTGTGTGGTGTTGGGTCATGGGGGTGTGAGAGGAGAGAGAGGTGAGGCGAATGTGTGAGGAAATGGTTAAAAAAGAGAGATGAGAGTGGAACATAAAATCATTGGAGTGTGGGTAGTTCTATTTAGGAAGTTAACTATAAATTTACTGAAGTATAGCCTACAGTGCCCACTCAAAAATGACCCATTTGGTTCTCCACCCTTGTAATGAACAAGTTAAGAAATTAATGGCGGCGTAGGATCATGAACACACCATTGGCAAGCCTCAATTTGCCTTCAGGTAGATGGGGGGTTATAACAAAGGACCGGACTAGTCCATCTGTCTACGAGAGAGATTTCCTACCATTCTGCCACCAGCTTAGGTACTACGGATCCTCTAACTACCGATTGAGTTGCCTTTCCAGATCTCACCAGCATTGCCTATAGGTCATGATGTGCCTCAAGACGACAGTTTTCCATCCCCCTGCGGGTGGGCAATCCGCCACAACTAAACAATCAACTGCCATCCTTGATTATTAATCTGCTAGCAAAGTGTCGACACTGACTCTTATTAAGATCGCAGGTCAAAAGACTCTTGAGAACCATCATCCAGAAAAACAGGTAAATACATTGGAATTACTTCAAATGTAACCAAGTCAGGGACGTAAGAGTACTTATGGTGATGACACAGACTCACCCCAACCACCCTGCTTTCATGATACCATACTCTTGAAATGACCGAATCTGAAGGTCTAAGTAATCAGTGCAGAGACAAGACTACAAATTTTAATTGCTGAGCCTTTGGCAAATATTCAATCAAGTCGAAATACAAGAGCCAACTGCATTGGAACCGAATATACTAACAGATTAATCACAAATTTCACATTAGCAACTGAAATGCCTCGAGGCATTTTCCTTTGAACTATAGGCTGCATTTCCTGTCAAAAAAAACACTCGATATATTCCTCAAATTATATCCTTTGGTTTGTGTATATGGATGTATTCCAAAAATTTCAAGGGAACTGAAAAGAGAGAAGGGAACTATTCCCATTGGTCATGACTGGCACCTAAGAATAACTAACCTTTGTAATTTTGAAGAACGTGAAACATAAATTTTTCTTTAGTCATAATTCAAACCATCGTCATCATTGCCATGTTCCACTTCGTTATCATCAGATCCACCAAGGAGAGAAAGGAAAACCAAAACAGCGACCAGCTGGGTGACCAAGAAATATTTGGCCCTTCTTTTAAACTTTTTCTCTTCCTTTGTTTTCTCCCTCTTAGGTTTGCTCTTGGGTTTTGAACCTAAATGCAGAAAGGCAGGTTAGGTTTACAATTGTGCACCAGCAAGAAAAAATACATTAATAGAAACTCAAATATATAATTTAGTCCAGAACTCTGCAGACCAATTAATTCAAACACGAAACTATTGGACTAGTAATTCTAAGCAGTGATGAGTGCACACTCTCTTTTTTCAGGCATGCAGGCATAGCAACATTATTAAAGTTCTCGTCTTTCTTATGGAGTGGTAAAGAGCAAATGAAATGGAAACTATTCTCAAAGCAAAGCAACAAGGAGGACTTGGTCTTAAAGATCTCCATACCTAGAACAAAGCTCTTAAGCTTAGGTACATCTGATATGTTCTCTCTGAAAAGAGAATCTTTGGGCTGCTTGGGTGAGGACCAACTACTTGAAGCTAAAGAGTTTTTGGGAGGTTAGGCCACCCCAAATTTGCTCTTGGAACAGGAGAAAACTACTAAAGTTGAGAGATGTGGCTAAACCTTTGTTCCTTCACTTAATTGGTAATGGAAAATCTACCCATTTGTTGCAAGACAACCAGCATTCTCATGGCCCTTTATTGCGGAGATGGCCTGCTACTATCATTGAAGCCTCTCTCCATCCGGTTCATGCCAAGGTTGCAACTATCATCAATGGAAATTCTTGGGCATGGCCTATTTCTGAGGCAGATGGAATTATGCAAATTCAGAATTATGTCCCCCTTTACCCTCCCTAACCCGCAGCAAACAGATAAGGTGAGATGGCTACCCAGCTCCAAGTATTTACGCTGCACAATCTGCTTGGAAATGTTTCCATTGGACTTCACCTAAGGTTTTCTAGTACAAACTCATCTGGTACCCTCAGCACATCCCCAGAATAAGCTTTATCTTATGGTTGGCTATTCATAAGAAGCTAGGGACTATAGATCATGTGAAGAAATATATGCAGCATTTAAGCTCTATTTGTGTGTACTGCAGAAACACAAAGGAAAGCCATTGCCATTTTTTCTTCGATTGTATAGTGACCGGTGAAATTGGAACAAATTTCTTCAACTCATTCATGTATCTTGGTTTTCTCTCACATGGCCAAATGCGATACATTGGAGAGAAAAATCTCTTAGGGTCATAGTGCTTAAATTGAGCCTTGCGGTCACAATTTACACTCTTTGGAGAGAAAGAAATGGTAGAATCCTCAGGAATGAATACAAGGATGTAACAACCATCTTCAAATCCATTATTCAAGTGATCAAGTGCAAACTTATCACTGCTAACTATCGACATACTCCAATAAACTTAGCCTTCCTTCAGATGTGGAGTTCCTCGGTCTCTAATGCTCTTGCTGGACTATGAGCTTCTTTTTCTTTTTTTTTTTATTTTTTTTTTTTTACATAAACTGGTACAAGTTCTGCTATTTTGCAGTACTTTTACCAATTTAGATTTCTTTTGAATCATTTGTCATTTGATAGCCGAAAGACAACAATTTACTTGTACATTTTGCAAGATTAATGAACATATTTACTTACCAAAAAAAACATTATGAAGGTTCTCATGATCAAAAAGGTTTCACTCTTTCGGCTATTTACCACACATTAAGAACTTCGCCTAAATCAACCAATTCTATGATTCATACATCCAAGAGGAGAAAAAAACTACTACTATTCACTTGTTTAATACATTTTTTGTGCAAGCCAACCTGCCAACTGTGGACATAAATGTAACTCATCACCTTAGGTGAAAGGTTGGCTTGAATGCGGAAAGGCACTGAGAATCATTCTTAAAGCTCAGACTAAGCTTGGGCCATCAAAATACTCAAACTTAATCCAATCCCATTTCAGCCTTGTCTACCTTACCCATTGAGGGACACGAGTGCTATTAGAGTATTTTAGTATATTAGTTTTAGAGATAGCATAATCATTTATTTTATTTCATGTTGCCCTACTACATAAGAACCTCTATTGTATATCTTGGGTTATCCTATAATAGACAAAGTAGCCAGAATAATAGTTTCTTTTGTTTCTCTTCTGTTCTCTTCTTTTTAATCTATATTTTCATTGGTTACATGGTATCAGAGCCATATTTCAATCCAAAACACATTTAAAATCATAGGAAGTTCAACAGAGGAAGTGTCTGGTCCAACCTAGGTAAGTCATCCTTTTGGTGGTATGACATCATGCTGACATCATCTTTCTATGCAATTTTCTAGCATTACTAGACTCAATTTTGATGGGTTTCCCACTGGTATGGTTGGTTTTTGATTTTGAGACCATATGATATGATTTTTTATTTTTTGAATGATTTTCAAAAATATTGTCTCGATTTTTTGATTTGCAATTTGAGAACTTCTTCGTCAGATTTGATGCTTGGAACCCTTCCTAATGAGTGCGACTAAGGGTTTTTGATGCTCGAATTAGGGTTGCGAGGTTGTTCGAGTTTTGGTCTCTGTAGTTTGACTGCAATGTTCAAGACTACTCTGTTCTGATTCGGTGTCCTTATTCTTCCTCCTGTACTGTTTCTATGGTCTTCTGTTTATGTTGGGCGCTAACCTTGCATTGGGTTCTCAGATTTCTACTGGTACTGTGTTACTCGAGCAATCTAGTACTCTGTTTTAGCTTTCTTCTTGTCTTGAAGAGTTGGTTTGATCTGTTATTTGGATTGCTAGATTGCTAATTTGTATGCTTGTTGTGTTGTTTCTCTGTTGATTTGCTTACTGTGTGCATAGTATTGCACTGTGTTACAGAAGAATAGGAAATAATGTTGCTTCGTTACTACGTTTTGCTGGTTTTTGAATTGGGTTGGGTTTAAATGTGTTGGCCTAGGCCTTGCTTGATTTATTGGGTTGGGCTTCACTGTTTGTTTCTATTGCACGACTATTAGCAGACTGCAGCTATTTGTGATTGATGGACCATTTGAGTTGTTGCTTTTCTGGTTTGATAACTTGCTGGAGTTGGCCTTGGACTTGCCGATGTTGGATTTCTCTTGTTACAATTATGGCTAGGAAGACTCTCATTCTTTTCAGGCTATCAGTGCAAAATCAACACCTAGTTCGAGTATAATTGTTGATCAATCGTAGAAGTTTCTCTCATTCCAGCATCCTAATGCTTTTTCAATCTCTTCTTCAATAAGTTCATTCACTTCAAGCCTTTCAAGTATACCTCGAACTATTTGGGTCTTTGATTCAGATGCTACACATCATATGACCAGTGACTCGTTTTTATTTGTCTCTACTTTCTCTCCTCCATCTGTATATGTAGTTGTAGTCAATGGTACTCAAATGACCTTGGCTTGTGTCGGAGCTATTATTTCTCATCACCTTATACTATCAAATGTCTATCAAAATCTGATGGCACTATTTGTCAATCTTTTTGTACTGATACGCCTTAACAAAATGGTGTAGCAGAGCGCAAACATTGGCACATTATGTAAAACCCGAGAAATTTTAAATTTTTTGTGTAAAAAGGCAAAATAGTAATTAGCCGTTATGGTACTGGTTGAAAACTCAAACTTTTCTAGAACTCGAATGACAAAACAGATCTCCCTCTATTAGATTCGTCTCTCGAAATCTAGTTACCCAGTCAATTTTCGTTGAATTTCAAGACAGTCAGATTTTTTCACATTTTACGAGGCGATCGGGTGTCGCATAACCAAAATAAACGTGACAGGAAATTAAATTGCAAAAAATAAAAAAATTTTTAAGTTAGTTCAAATAAAAATATATTAAACTTAAAACGGGATGAAATTTAATTGATTCGGTACGAAATTGGATCCAAAAAGGCAAACGTGTGGCGCAACATGGGCCAAGTATCCAAGGAGTATAAATAAAGGAGAAAATCATATTTTCTCCCCATTTTTGGCGAGCTGATTTTCAGAAAAGAGGGGAAGGGAAGAGAGGAAAAAATTAAGATTTCTTCAACTTCCCTCTACATCTAGGGTCTCGGGCCAAGAACCAAAGTTCATCTACTCGACAAGGGCTACGCCTACGTACCAAAAAATACAGATATTGACAAAGTTCAAAAGACGGGATTTTGAAAATCAAGGGTTAAAACTTGATTTGGGTCTTGGGAGTTTTTCTACCACTTGTTTTACACTTCAAGAAGTAGGATTCTTTTCTTAATTATATTTATTTTCAACCTAGGGTTGAAATATGAAATAGGTAGGGTGTTAGAGATATAATCTCATGTATGGCGCATACTTATGATAGTTGAAATGTAGAAAATTGGTATAAAAATGGTTAAAATCAATTCTAACATGAATTGAATTTGTTGAAATTACTTTTTTGTGATTTCTTAAGAAATGTGATGATTTGGCGTATTATGTGTTTACATAAATGTTATAACATGGTTGGTGAGAATATAGATTGTAATTTATATGCATATGATATAAATTAACAATTGGGAATATCGTTGAGATGGAATGTTGTTCATATTGTGCTCATGACATTTTGAACATTATGTTGATATTGCCATTAAAAACTTGATTGCATAATTATATTGAATGCAATAGTACATTACATTGTATATGCACGGATGGCATCACATTCGTGAGCATACAGCATGAGTGTGGGTGTGTGTGCATAGTTTAGATCAAACACTATTCTTGATGGATGATGCGTGGACTCGAAAAAGTTAGACCAAATGTTCGACTAAGTCGCCCGGGTTGCATTAGAAATAGGGTCAAGGTTAGCAAAAAGAGCTAGACTGTCCCTCGAGTGCAAGACCCGGTGATTTGGATACGCACTCCGTTGGTATAAAGTTCATAAAGTGTGTCGACATATGCAAATCCATTTGTGAAAGTCCATAAATATCGTGTCGATTGTATGAGATTAGAAATCTTGGAATTGAAAAAGGATTGAAATGAAGAAAAACCGACCACTTCTACCAGTAGAATATCGAGTACCTACCGATAGAAGAATTCCAATAGGCATTTCTATTGGTAGAACGTCAAGTATCTATCGGTAGAACAATTCCAGTGGGCACTTCTACTGGTAGAACTTAAAGTATTTACCGGTAGAAGAATTCCAGAAGATTTTTC